GGAGCACTGGGTGTTATACGCAAACAATGTATCATGGAACACTACATCAAAAACTAATGATGTATGGTGATTAACATAACATAATAAAATAATATTAAAAAAATAAAATAACTATTCTGGGTGTTATATGCAACTAATGAATCACTGAACACTACATCAAAAAGTAATGATGTACTATATGTTGGTTAAATGAACATAATAAAAATAAATAAATAAAATATAAAAATACATTCATTTAATAAACAAGGTAAGACCATTTTGAGAAAAAATAAATAAAAATAAATAAATTAATTAATTAATTAATTAAAAACTATTCTCCTTCTGTTTGACATACAATGGAAAAAAACTTTGGTTATGTCTAGAGACGAGTGCCAAATCATACTAGACTTTATATTTCACCAAATTAACTGATAGCAAATGTAGACATGTCACTTGGATATGCTTTCCAACTCTGATGAATCAAAAGTCAGAGGTTTTGCCACTTTGGACACTGCCTGAACTCTCTAGGGAAGATGGCTAGCTAAGTATGCTTGAGTATGCTGAGGTTAATCTGAAATGCAAGATCAAGACAGAGGAAATAACTTACCACTGCCCCCATCAAACCACAACTACTCATACCTTCATGGACCTTCTTTTCTGTATTGACAATTTTTTCTCTCGTTCTCTTTCCAGTTTAGGATTCCTAACTGTCTTAACTTCGACTTGGGAATGTGCCTCTAATATCTTTCTATCCTGCTTACTCTATCTTGATTTCTAACTTCTCTTCTCAATAACCTGGTATTTTGGCTCAACTCCTGATTATATTTTTGTTCAGTGATTTGATACTGTTCTTTACCCTGGACTAGATAGTGTGATCATGATGACTCTGCCATAGTGGCTTGGCAGAAGACTCTTACTCTGATTAGCTGTTGTTTCAGCAAAATCCCTTTTTGAAATTCTTAAAACATTTTTATTAAAGTAGAGTCGACACACAATATTACATTACCACGTAATGATTCCACAACTCTATATATTATGCTACTGTCACCATACAACACTATCAGCATGATTTGATGCTAACTGATGGTTATTAAGTAAAAAGTACATTCATCCCAGCTTGTTCAGGGAGAGGGTGGAATCTCTTTAGGGTTGTAAACTCTGAAATCATTTTCAACATTAAGGAATTGCTGCCTGTTAGCACTTTATTTTATTCCATTTACTTAAACACATTCGGTTGTAATACAAAAGAAAAACATTTGAGTTTGCACATTTTCCTTAGCTGTATAATTAATGAAGTCAGCAACAAATGTTAGGCACAGATAACAAAAGGAAATTGTAAGAAATTTTTCATGGAACATCCTTAAAATGGTTAGCAATTCATCCATCTTTTGAATAGGTATGGACTGTGGCAAGAGCGAATTGATAACGTTACAAATTTCCTGCTAGCATTTTGGTTCTATTGTTCAATTTGTTTTGTCAGTGGAAATAGTCTGGTGTATATATATCAGATTGCCATTGCTGTCCATTTTGGTACAGCATACACAAATTGAAGGTGTGTAGAAAACAAAATCAATGAGAAAACATTCAAGCAGATCTCCTGCTTATAGCTAAGTAAACAACCATTATTGCAAAGAACGAAGTACTTGTACCCAAGAGATTCATGCAACAAAACATAACCAGAGTAAACTTTGGATTTTTATGGAAAATCATATGAAGCACTGTTTCTATCTTCCACATAGATAGGAAAATAATTTGATGTTTTAAAATACAGAGTTCCCAAGATAACTATCTGGCAAAAGTGTCAAAAGACAACTTCCTGATTATTTTTAACTTAGTCATCTTGGGGTAATTTTGGTCTATTTTCAAAGGTAAAACTTCTTGCAAGTGAATTACAATTTTACATGTGTTTATGGCTGAAAAGTTCAAGGGCAAGTGTTTTTATATTATATCAGATATATAACTCAATAAATATAATGTTTGTTGAATAACTAAATGATCATCCAACTGATAAAAAAATAAAAGAAAACCATAATTGAGTTATTACTGAACTACCATATCTTCATCACCTTAGGCATCCTGGGGATATCAAAACATTATTTGATAATGTTACCACCACCAAGAACTTTTCCTAGTCAGAAGAATACCTTTGTTCAGATGCGCAAATTCTACTTATCTCTGTACATCACCAACGTAGTCTCCCTGCATTCACAATTAATTTCAATTTTCTAAGATTAGTCCTGAGTGACCCTTAATATATTTCTTTTGGCCTTCACTTGAGTCCACTTGTCTCCTACTTTTGATTGCCCCTCTTCACCTCATTCTAACATAACCATTGTAATCCTGCAACTCACAAAGCCTATGAAGTTTTGCAGCCACTGAAACTTATGAAATTTTGTTGGACTAAGCATTATCTTGATGTCAGGCTATTTTTCAGAAGTGCGTTCCTAGAGATTAAAGTCTGTTGTGTGATAGCTCAAAGGGATTTTTTCTTAAATTAATAGGTAGTAGTTGTATCATTGTCTTTCCAAATAGGCCTTTACCTTGCTCCCCTTAATTCTCCATGTGAACACTAGCTTCCCTTGTTTGGTTCCTGCTTCCAGATTCTGTGGATCCACAGGAGACACAACTTTTCTGTTTTTCTGTGTAATGTACCTATGCAAACCCTAACAGTGGCCAGCTTTTCCTATCCTCTGGCACTCTCTGTCAAGAATCCCCTCCTCCATTTTCTTCAACGATTGTTCTTCCTTTACAAAGGACACAGGAAGGGCAGCCATGAGTGAATTGTTTTAGGGCTTCTTTTCACTCACCTGAAAGCAAGATGGTCTTTCCAACTCTAAAATCCATAATTCTGTGATTCCCTCAACCATATTCTCAGTCTTTGTGAGAGTTGACAACTGTCATATTTCTCTGGAAAACTGCAAAAGGAATGACAAACTGAAGGTTACTAGGAGATGTGAATAGCTGCTTTTTCACCTCTCATGCTTTAGAACTTTTATCTTGAGCCTAAAAGCCATAAAGACAAAAGAGAACAATAATTGCACATAAAATGAGAGCCATAAAAGCCAGGCTGAATTGTAGCTTCTAGTTCCCTACAACCTTAGTTATACAACATATATCAGCTGTAACTGCGCTTTGTGAGCCAGAAAGTAAGACAAATGTCCTGTCAAGCAGTTAGAATATTTGAAATTGTATCTATCTCTGAAAATCCAACTTCATGAGAAATATAAGATGGGCATTGTTTTCTCCATTTTTCAGATGAGAAAATGGAAGCCTAGAAAGATGGAGGAGAGGAAGCCTAGGGCAAACAGACCCGAAGTGGTAGTGCCCATGGGCCCGGTCTCGTAGGCCTGTGTTCTTTCAACTATAAGTTTAGTTTGTGCTTCCTCTGAACAGGTCTTGAAAACTAGATAGCTAATGAACTTCCAAGTCACATCTCTCCTTCCCATATTCATTAAAGTTCCTAAAGCAGAATGCATAATTATATTATGGAAATAATTAACATTATGTGGGGAAAAAATCATTACTCTCAAAGTTTCAATCAGCAATAATTGTGCCTCAGATAAACTTCATGAGCTGTGATATTGCCGCTGAGAAGAGATATATTCAAATTTGATGTAAGAGAAAAAGCTGATGTAAAAACCACTTGAATCAAAAAAAAAATGAGAGTGGACATGTTAATACAGCAATTTATTACTTCCACGACTTTTGTATGATCTGAGGGACCTGAATTAACTGCGTAGTTTCTTTTCAAAAACCTGACTTTCCTCGTCCGTTCCACTTGACAAAATTTCTTGCACCATGATGAACATCTCTACTTAACCTTATCCTTACATTTGATGAAACACACATTCTGGCTGTTTGCAAACAGGATGCAATTGTAATGTCATTCTCGAGAATTACCTTGTTACCTAGGCAGAAGGGGGAACTGTCACATTAAGAAAGAAAAAGGAGGGAGTGTTCTTGAGCAAAGGCAGTACAAACCAATCCAAAATGTTTAACAGAACTGAACTACTAAGAGTTGACAGGGACTCAAGTGGTCAACAAATCCTGCTGATGGTCACTTATTAATACTTTGAGCATGTATATGCCTCTTCTGCAGTTTGTGATGGTCCATCAGTACACTTACACTCAGCCTCCTTTGGGACAGTCAGAGATGTCTCTGAGACCACTGTGGCTAGAGTCTGGAGTGTCACCTACGGCAGCAGCACAGGAAAAAGCTGACTAAGTGGAACCCAGCTATGAGCTTGACCTTATCAGCATCTTGAGCTTGTGCCTACATAGTATAGATCCATGGTAATCATTATGTCAGTAATGAAATAGGAGAAAAAAGTCAAATCTTTATACTTCTGTATCACACTTTGGATTGCAAATGATAAATGAGGAAATGATGTGAGAGCAAGTAGTGATAATAAGTGTTGATTATTTCAAGAAATGTATTGATGAAAAGAAGAAGAGGAGAGCAATACTCCAAGAGAGAAGCAGAGTTAAGAGAAGGTTAGGGGAGTTAGGGTGGGAAAGACTTAGCACGCTCTGAGGCTAATGATGGAGAGATCAGAGAAGCTAAAAGCACAAAAGAGAGATAGAATTGATAACGTCTAAGACTTTATGTTTATTTTATTCTTCCACACTGTTCCTCTTTCCCCATACTACTCTCATGCTACTATCTTTCCCATCTCATAGATTTCCATCTCTCCAGTTTCTCAAGTCAAAAATCTAGAAGACACACAATCCATTAGGAAGTCCTGTCAACTCCAACTGTAAAGCAAAATCCAAATCCAACCATTCCATATAGCTACTCACTTGTGTCCATGCTACCTACATCTCACACCTTATGGCAATACCCTCCTGACTGGGTTACCTCTTTTTGCTTTTGCACTCTCTTATAATTCATTCTCCATATAAGGACTAAAACTCTCTTGTTAAAATATTATAACTCTGGGTGCCTGGGTAGCTCAGTCAGTTAAGCATCTGCCTTTGGCTGAGGTCATGATCCCAGGGTCCTGGGATCGAGTCTCACATTGGACTCCCTGCTCAGCCAGGGAGCCTGCTTCTCCCTCTCCCTCTGCCTGCCGCTCCCCTGCTTGTGTGCTCTCTCTCTCTTTCAAATAAATAAAATCTTTAAAAATTTTTTTAAATAAAATATTATAACTCTGATGTCTTCCTAAAGCACTATAATAGAACTCATATTTCATGGTCTCCAGAGTTCTATCTGATAGGATTAGTATTTACCGCTTCAATCTCATCTTCTACCATTCTCCCAAGTGTTCACTAGACTTGAACACACTGATCTTCTTTCTGTCCCATTACTGTTAAGCTCATTTCAACCCCTGACTTATACATTTGTGATTTTCCCCCAGCTCTTCACACATTTAGCTCCTTGGGTGTTGGCTCAAATGTCATTTCTTCAGACAGAACTTTCTGGATCAGCATATCTAAAATAGCCCACCAAACTCAAATCACTTTCTTATATATCTCCTTTCTTTTAATTTCCTTTATGAATCTTACCACACTCTGAAATCGTACTGTATATTTATTTGCTTTCTTATTTACTGTCTTTCTCCCTCGATTAGATGTAAGTTCCACAAGAGACAGATCTTTGCCTGTCTTGTTTGCTAATGTATTCTCAGGTCCTAGAACAGCGCCTGGCAAATATAAATATCTATTGAATGAATCAGTGAATGGATGAATAAGTGAATAAAACAAGTTGGTTGATAAAACTGAGAACATATCATCTGTAGAATAAGAAGGAAAATATTCATCTGAGACAAAAGAAACAGAAGTTAGGAAGGGTACAGATAGGTTTGGAGATAGGAGACTGGTACAATTATTATTTGAAGATGAGCCGAGGTCATCTTCCAAGGCCAAGTGGGACATCTTGTCAATCGCTTTCTGTACAGCATTATATAATTTGTTTACATTTCCCTAATGTATATTTCTGGCACAGCTAAGGTTGCCATCAATTTTAGCTCTAAATTATTTTATATCAGTTTTTCCTCACTTATTAATCACTCCCTTTCTCTGATGTCATTCATACATTTTATGGTTGGAAGAACATTTGCCTTAATGAAGATGAGAACAAGAGAACTGACCATAAGAGATTCCTTCTCTGTTATCTGCTAACATCATACCATCTACCCCAAGCAGAGGACCCCTAGCCCTTTTCATTTTGCATCTGTAAACATAGGTGAAATCACTGTTTTGGTTTTTGTCTTTGGCACTTTATATAATCTTGAACCTATTATGGACCTTAACTCCGATGAAAAATCCACACACTCATTGAACACATCCTTGATTATGTGTTACTACCCTCGACGTCACCCCATCTGTTCCCCTCATGTTCTTTTAACCTAAGCTAACAGTTCTGGTTTCCTCTTTCTCTTTCCTTCACAAAATTTATAATTTTCAGAATACAATATTCCATTTGAGCCATCTTTTTGTTTTCACAGTTTCTGGCCATGAGACCATACTTACCTTTTTTCTAAACTTTCTGAATATTGCTTTGATAGAGAGGCAGTATCTGAACACAACCTACATCTCTTTTGCATTTTATTTTGGTCCCTTTAACCCCAGTTTCTATCACTTACACAGTAATAGAATCCAGATTTCCAAACTCCAGTCCATAACTGCTATCATTATAATACATTTGGCAAAACAGATTTATAGTTGTTTAAGCCCCCTTCCCCTGGATTTTCAATCTATTGATGTTCTGCAAACAAACTGGTTACCACATCACCACATTCTGGGTTTTCAGAGCATAAAAGAGAAAAATGTATATGTATGTGTAGGTAAATAGGTAGGTAGGTAGATAGATACTATTAGATCAAATCTCACATCTCAGGGGTTCCACAGTCACCCACTTAGTCTCACATGACTCAAATACAGTTATGCACATGGCTAAGATTTTTTTAAAGATTTTATGTATTTATTTGAGAGAGAGAAAGAGAGAGACCATGAGCAGGGGGAAGGGCAAAGGGAAAGGAAAAGAGAGAATCTCAAGCAGACTCCCCATTGAGCACAGAGCCCAAAGAGGGGCTCAATCTGATGACCCCGAGATCATGATCTGAGCCAAAACCAAGAGTCGGATGCTCAACTGACTGAGCCACCCAGGCGCCCCTCATGACTAAGATTTATTAGAGCAAAGCGTACAGTGCAATAACAGCAGGAAAAAGATATCCACAGGTAAAGGGTAGAGAGGTTAAAAACAAGCTTCTTGTTCTCCCTCTCTGGGGATTACACAATTGTTTTTCGTTTTTTGTTTTTTTTTCTGTCAAACTGTAAAGTTCAGGGATGTGTGGGAGATGTCCTTGCCAAGGGAAGTCCACTTCAGTCTTAGAGTTCACAGTTCTTAAAGAGCGTTGTTCATGTAGGCACACAACTGTCGTGTGGCCAGCCATGATATGGACCCCCAACTAGGTACCAGGTACACATCATGAACCTTCATGTTTAACTTAAAAATGCTGACGACTGGTTCATCTTGACCCACTGTCTCGTGAGTACAGATAATATTACATAGTAACCTTGTAAATATTCCAGTAGTTTATTCCTCAGAGTTATTGCCATGGTTACAAAGATAAGCAAGAATTGAATAAAATAGGCCTCTGATTTAATATTATACACACACACACACACAGATCTCTTGGTGTTTTATGTATTTCATATTATTTAACCTTCATAGTAATCCTGTGAAATGGCCATGACCATTCTCCCCTTTCACAGATTAGGCAATGGGGATATAGACAGGTTAAAGTCTAAGTAACCAAGTCACACAGCTACTATGCTTTAAAGCTGAGATCTGAGCTCATGCTCCTCTCGTTGCATGACAATTCAAGGTCAGCTAGGTCTAATGCAAGTAAATAAGGATAGGTCAAAGGCATTCAGAAGCCTTTCTGAATCCAAAGTTTTTTTTGTAGAAGCT